ATTCCCCAGCCAGCCATGCTGGCTGGGGAATTCTGGGAGTTGGAGTCCACGCATCTTAAAGCGGCCAAGGTTGAGAAACACTGATCTAACTGCACCCAAACAGATCAAATAAAGACCTGTGAGTATTTTCACACAACACATTGAGCCTGTTTAGTGCTAATCCTGGTTTGTTTGTATGGATTCCCACCTTGTGAGAACCTGGCCTGTTTGTTTCACCTTCACTCTTCCTTTTTCAGGACTCAGTGTCTTCCGCAAAGCCAGAACGTGAATGACGTTGGTGACCAGGAGTAGCTCACGGCCACTCAGCCAATTGTATGGATGAGGCTGTCTTTGCATCTTTCCCCTGCAGTCAGAGACACCTGCCTGTGGGTCAGAAAAGTCAAAATGGCAGCCGCAGCCATGAGATTGAAGCCCTGCCCCTTGTTTAAAAAGGGGCAGGGCTTTGACCTCAAGGTTGCGGCTGCCCTCTTGACTTGTTCCGTTGCCACTGCTGGCTAGCAAACAGATTATTATTGCATTTCTAGTGATGGTTTCCTGCCTGATGCAAGTTGGGAGGGAGAACAGCGATCAAGCTGGAAGCAGCAACTGCCAGTAAAAGCCACCACCCAGAACCTGCCAGATCCTCAATTATCCTTGGCCAGCCTCAACATCCCAACTGGTTTCTCCCTCCAAAAGAGGTTCAATGCACCCCATGGTCCAGTGCATGTTTAACCCCCCAAGCTCTGGTTTCTGGAAGGAGACAAGGAGATGCTTTGCCTTTATTTATTGATTCATGCCATTTCCAGCTGGCATCTCTGCCCACGGAGCAACGTCTTTCTTTTGCTGGGAACCTGCAGGATGTAATTTCTGGAAGCCTCTAACGCAGCGTTTCTCAACCTTGGCAAGCTGGAGACGTGGGGACTTTAGCTCCCAGAATTCCCCAGCCAGCCATGCTTGAAGACGGGCGGACTTCAGCTCCCAGAATCCTGGGGAATTCTTGAGGTCCACCCATCTTCAAGCATGCTGGCTGGGGAATTCTGGGAGCTGAAGTCCCCACGGCTCCAGCTTGCCAAGGCCGAGAAACACCACAAACCACTCCTTAATGGTTCTGGGAAAGGAAAGATCGGTTGCTTCCCAGGCTGCTTACCCCCAACTCAAGACAATGTGGTTAAACCGAGAGCCGGAGATGGCTTTGGGAGACAAGGCGGTTATCAATTTTGCAGGGGCTGCCCGGCCCCTCCTCCCGCCTTTCTCGCCCTCCCGCCTCCTCCTGGCTCCATTGATAATTGTAAGCCGTCTGGGGCAGAGGCTGTCTTCGGCGCGGGCACTTTAGAGCACTTAGCACACGCAGGCTTCGGCTTCTCTGGGGGCCTGTAATGATGACTATTAGCGTATCTCCACCCTTCCTCAACCCGTTGCCTTCTGCTTGATGGAGGGGGGAAAATGCCTCTGCTAAAAAAAAAAACTGGCAGAAAAAATACTGAGATACATCCAGGGCTCTGGACTTGGGCAATTTCTAACGGTCTCACTGATTTATCGTGCAGGTGGGAAGAGAAACGGCTTCTTTCCTCACCCATGAAGCGATAGTGACATTTCCTTTATAAACAAACATCCCTTCCTTTTGTACAATTGATCCCCATCAACTCCGGGAGCGCGTGAGAGGTCCCTTCCCTGTAATTTTGCAGCCGTTTTATTGTTCTTATAAATCCATGCTAAACACACACCCATACACATGTTATGAAATCACGAAACAACCCTCAGGAAATTCAACATTTGTTTGCAGTAATTGCATTTCACATGATTTGTGGACTTATTTGGTGATGCATGGGCACAGCCAGACGCGCATGAACGGAGCAGGAGCAAAATTAAAAGGGGAGAGCCAGGGCTTTTGCCTCTGAAAGGTTTTCCAGACTTTCTAGATCATTTCTTTCTTTCTTTTTTTTAAAGAAATCTATTTTATTAGGAATTATTAAATCCGCTGAATCGCATAGCTTGGGCATTTATCTTTGGATCTATCTGCTGCAGAAGTGGTAAAAGAAACTAGGCAGCCTCTGTTTCTTGTTCATTAGTCATATTTGAACTGGGATCCCTGGTTTGTTCGTTCTTAAGAAGCCATGACCAGAAACCACGGTTTGCTCTTGACTTAGATCTTGGCTTCTTCGAAGGAGAACAGCAGACTTCCTGATTCACTCTTGAGACTTTCTCTATCTTCATGTGCTGGCATCGTTTATGATTTATTATCTTGGCTGCGAATTCTGGGAACTGCAGCTTAAAATTATCTGGAGAACACCAGATGAGAGTTAGAGGTGGACAACTTTGCCCAGGTTTTCATTGTTACCGATCTGGCAAATCCATTTCAGTGAATTAAATGCTTTCTCTAAAAAAATCAATGCTAACATATGGTCATATTTGGGGCCGATTCCTCCAAAACATGCACTTGATTTGTAACGTTGCCTAATGGATCCTTTTTGAAAACCATTCTCCCCAAGAGGACGCATTGACGTGCATTATGTTCATGGATCATGCCTTTCGGTAGGCTTTCCCCCCCTTTTTAACCTGTCACATGATACTGCAAAACTGGAAAAAGTGGGACTGTTGAAGAAGAACTAAGTTGCAACTTGTGTGCTGGTTTGAAAAGGTAAAAATAGATATATTCGCATTCGCATGTGAACTAAATTAATTTCTATCCCCTCCCGAGCTAGAAACTGCAGCCTTTCTCTCCCCCCGTCCCCTTCCTTCCTTCCTTCCTTCCT